TCCGAGACCGCGGCGCCCGCAGGCCGGGGCGGCTGAGAGCACGGGCGGAGCAGCGCTGCTTTCCCTTCCCCGAGTCCCGGCGCAGCCCGGAGACGGCGGCAGCGTCACCAGTGCTAGCGCGGCGGCGCGGCTGGGGCGGTCTCCCGGCGAGGAAGGCGAGGGAGGTTTAAAAGATCCGAGTGAAAGAAGAGAAAGGAATGAAAGCGGTGAGGGAAAGGGAGGTGTCTGGTGCCACCACGCTGCGCTCTGGCTCCGTACACTTCCCGGCTCCGCGGCTGCCGCGGCTGCGGTGATTTATGGAAAGAGGAGGGAGGCGGGGAAAGTCCCGCGCTCGCCCCTCCTCTCCCTCGCTTGCACGGGGCGACGCCCTGGGACGCTGGGGATCCGGGACGTTGGGGACCTCGCTTCCACAGGACCCTCCTGGCCTGGGAAGGACACTACTGGGACCTTCTCGTGGCTGGCCAGCCGACCTTTCCCCGCTCTCCACGCCCTGGCCCACTCAGGGGGATCTCGGGACCCACGCGTTACAGGTTCCACCCACCCACCTCCCAAAGTCCCTTTTAAGTTCGAGAACTCTGGCGTTTTGCCTGACAGAGATCTGGGAAGGAGGCAACTGCCGTTGGAGCCTCAACTCCCTTGCCTCGGTGTTATTAGTAACAATAGCTCGCCCTCGTGGGCGCAGCGGATTTGGTTTGTAAGCAGTTATTGTGGGCCCTGCACTGTACTCTGAGGTCTACGTTCAGTGTGTGTGGCTCATTATCCTTTAATCCCAGGACGTCCCTAGGAGGTAGTATCTTACTACCGAATTTTTAGGTAACCAACACTGAGGCTTAGGGAGTTGCAACAAATAGCTGAAGGTCACCCAGAGATGGGCGATGACCCAGAGTTTAAATACAAGCATTACTTTCAGGCCTTTGCACTGGATTCTGCCTGTCTCTCTATGGAAATCCATCTGACTCCATTACAAGCAAAAATGAAAAAAAAAAAAGCTGAAGCGGAGTCCATAGCACCCAACTGCTCTCCTAAGCATGGGTAGGCTCGGCTAACTTTCCTGTTCGCTCCAGACTCCTGGATCAGGCTCTCTGAGAACCACCATTTGGAAAGGAGTGGGTGGCATTGTGTGTGCTGGAGGGTGGACCCAAGTGTCTGTGTGTAAAGCATCCATTCTCTTTTCCACAGACTATGAATTTGCTCCTTCTAGGGATCTAGGAATTAGGGCCATGGGTAGGCAGATGTGGTGGTTTAAATGAGAATGCCGCCCCACCCCCCCCCCCCCCCCACCCCGCTCTCATACTCACATGTTTGAATACTTACTTGATCCCCAATTGATGTGACTGGAAAAGATTAGGAGGTGTGGCCTTGTTGGAGGAGGTAAAGCCATTCCCAATTAGCTCTCCCTGCCTCATGCTTGTGTCTCAAGATGTGAGCTCTCAGCTACTGCTCCAGCAACATGCCTGCCAATTGTCATGTTCCCCGTCATGATGGTCAGCACCCCCAAATTAAACATTTTCTTTTATAAGTTGTCTTGTCTTGGTCGTGGTGTCTTCTCACAGCAGTGGAAAAGCAGCAGATGGCAGGGTATAGGACTTGCCTAGGACTAACTACCAGAAGCAATGCTGGGAAAGAAACCACAGTGTTTGTTTTACTTGATAGTAACGTCTTCCAGTTTCTCTTTGGTTATAAGAACTCAGTATTGCCGGGCGGTGGTGGCACACACCTTTAATCCCAGCACTCGGGAGGCAGAGGCAGGCGGATCTCTGTGACTTTGAGGCCAGCCTGGTCTACAGAGCGAGATCCAGGACAGGCACTAAAACTACATAGAGAAACCCTGACTCAAACAAAACAAAACAAAACAAAACAAAACAAACAAACAAAAAAAAAAAACAAGAAGAAGAAGGAGAAGAAGAAGAGGAACTCAGTATTAAGAACTGACCTTCTAGGATAAAGAGAGAACTCAGTCAGTAAAATACCTACTAGGTGCAAGCGTGAGGACCCGAGTCCAGATCCCCAGCACCCAAGGAAAAACCAAGCATCCTGGTGTTTCTCCAGAACCAGGTGTAGGGTGAGGAGATGGCAGAGAGGGGTGGACCGAGCACAGCCAAGCTGAACTCTGGGCTCAGTGAGAGACCCTGTCACAAAAACTTAAGTGAAGAGTGATTGAGGACAACACCCAAGGTCAACTTCTAGTGTCTTCTGCCTCCTTCTACCACCTCCCTCAGGCACAAGAATTTCATTCAGACGCGTCCCTTGGGCCCGTCTTACCTCACTGGGATCAAGCCCCTAATTCTAAATTCCCCAGTTTGTATGGTTTCTGTCATTTTAGCATATGTTTTCATTATGTGGCCCTCGTGACAGTCTCCTCCCAGTCTTGGCAGGACAGTCTTTAATTGTGATATTTAGGATGTTTGTTTTACTAGGATGGGCTTCTCAAATGTAGAATCCTGTCGCCTCTCTACCATCTGCATAGTATGTCCTGGGAGAAGGGGTCCAGAGGCTGTGTGTTTTAAACTGTTGTTGCATCGTGGGATACGCACCTTGCACTCATGTTCCTGTAAGTCGTAGGTACCACCACCAGCACTAGCTACAAGGAAGCTACTGAGAGGACGACGATGACGCTTGAATCCTAGAGTTCTAACATTTAGATCAGTAGGTTCTCAACATGCAGGAAAGAGCCTGAGACCAGTCTTATCTAACCAATGGGGGAAACCCAATAGTTATTTGCTCAAGGTAAAAATGTTTTTAAAAAGTTTTAGGGGCAGTGTGCACCCCTGGCCTCAGGTCTTCACACAACAAATCTGTCTCTAAACTCATGATTTGATGTCAGAGAGAACATGTGCACGCACTGTCTTAGGAACATTGCTAGTTCTGCGGTAAACTCCACACACCAAAGCAATCTGAGGAGGAGAGGATTTATTGGGCTTACATATCCCAAGTCACAGTTCCCTGCGGTAAACCAAGGAAGGAACCAGGAGGCAGGAACTGAAGCAGAAGCCTTAAGGTGAGGTTGCTCCCCTTGATTGCTCCCCATGGCTTGCTCAGTTTGCTTTTTTGGGGGGAGAGGGGTTTGAGACAGGGTTTCTCTGTGTCGCCTTGGCTGTCCTAGAACTCATTCTGTAGGCCAGGCTAGCCTTAGACTCACAGAGATCACTTGCCTCTGCCTCCCAAGGGCTGGGATTAAAGGGGTGCACCACCACAGCCTGGTTTATTTGTTTGTTTGTTTATTCATTCATTTGTCTATCTATTTATCTATCTGTCTATCTATCTATCTATCTATCTATCTATCTATCTATCTATCTATCTATCTATCTATCTATCTATCTAATGTGCATTGGTGTTTGACATGGGTGTCAGGTCCCTAGAACTGGAGTTACAAACAGTTGTGACCTGCCACATGGGTGCTGGGAATTGAACCCTGGTTCTCTGGAAGAGCAGTCAGTGCTTTTAACTTCTGGGCCATCTCTCCAGCCCTTAGTTTGCTTTTTTAGATACTCTAGGACTACCTGCCAAGGGGTAGTCCATCTCCTTCCATGTCAATCATTAATCAAAGAAATGCCCCCATAGACTTGTCTACAGGCCAATCTGATGAAGGCATTTTGCCTCTAAGATTTTTTTTCCAATTAAGATTTCTTCTTACCCGGTATGTCTAGGTTTGTGACAAGTTGACAAAACTAAACCAAAAACAAACCAGTACACATACATATTGATCAAAGTGTATGAATGCTTTCAGTTTATATCGGCGAAGCCATCTGCGTATTGACCCCACGTCAGCATTAAAAATGGTTTTCTGATAAGGCGACTAATTAGAACAAGATAGGCAGGTGACATCAAGGTAGCCGGTCAATAACATCTGTAGCAAAATGTTTGTTAGAACAAATCTTTGTCCTCAAATATTTTATGACAATAGACCAGGAGGGGAGCCAGGTGTGGTGGCACATGCCTTTAATTCTAGCACTCCAGGGGCAGAGGCTACAGGATTGCTGCACATAATAGGGATCTGCATAGCGAGACCTTGCATCAAAATGACTACAGCAGCAGCAATAATGGGTGTGTGTATGTGTGGCACCATCATTCCCATTACACACACACACACACACACACACACACACACACACACACACACACACATCAGGAAATACAGACATATGTATGTGTGTGTATATGCTTATAAATAAACATGCGACACTATAGATTATAGATATGCATCTCTGTACCTTTTTATGTGTGTATATTTAGTCATATAATATATATGTGTATTATATATGTGTGTGTGTATATGTATAACATGCGTGAATACACAGCTATATATATCAAGTGTGGACCAAAACATGTCCCCATTTTTTGGATTTTGGATCCCAAGAGCCATTTTTTACTGCATGAGTCATCTATGCAAAGCGCAGCGTCTCTTAGCCTCTGTTTCTGTATCTTCACAGTGTGAACTGTACTACCCAGGGTTTTTGCGGTCAGGTACATGTGGTCCTTAGCATAGCCCATACTAGATGAGAGGGAGGAAATATCATGAGGAAGCTCAGAAAGGCAACCAGAAAGAAGCATGAGGGGAAGGTACAGACTCTGTGTCCTGCTGGATTACCACCCAAATCCAAATGAACATGACTTCAAGACATTGTTTCCGATTCGGCGGAGATGTTCTTCCTTTTGTCCTGATGAAACACTAAGGCTCAAAGCCCAATCATCCGATCTGTACAAAGATACTATTAGCTCTGGAGCTATTTGAAATAATAATAATAATAATAATAATAATAATAATAATAATAATTAATAATAATAAAAGATGAGAAGGTCATACCTGTTTGGAGAAGAACATAGGTCACCATGGAATTTGTCTGGTGGCCTTATCCCCTCTCCAGAGTG